CCCGCGGCCCGGGGCTCCGAGCTGGAGGGGCGCCCCGAGAGCAGCTCCCTGACCTCCGACTGGACTCTTGAGGGAACCGAGACCCAGTCGGGGGAGAACTTGCCCGAGGTCGCTGTGGTAGAGTCAGGATTGGATAACGGTACAGTCTCCAGATCCAAGGCTGGTTCCAGATAGTATGCCCGTAAATCCTCCCAGAAGGATGCGCTGTTTTATTTAATTTTATTTTGCATTCGGTAGTTTAAGAAGTTTTATTTTATAAAGAGAATATATGTTTTAAAATGTATATTTTACATATACATCTAAGGATGAAAAGAGGGGTTTCCCTACCACCTTGTATCACCATCCTCCAACTCGACTCCCAGAGGCCACTCTTGCTATTGGGTTTTTGTGTATCTTTGCAGAAATTTTCTCTATGCCTATAAAAGCATATGTGCCTATAAAAGCCCTTTCCTTTAAAACACACACACGCTGTTTCTCTCCCACACACACGGAGTAGCGTGCCATATACATTAGTCTGCACTTGGTTTTTCCACTTAACAGTATTTCACAGTTTCCCCACCTCTTGTCATCTCTGAAACTGAGTTTCTTGTACAATCAACGGGAGCATAGTTCATTGGTTCTGTGAGTGTGTTTCTTAATGCTACGTAAAGTCATGGTGCATCTCCGTCCACAGTGACTTTGTTATGATGAGATATGGTGATATGTTTTGGAGTTCATATAGAGTGGCATTTCCACAGGGTTTAGTTGCAGTTACTTAACCAATTGTTTTCCATCCTTCGGTTAATACGAATAATGCCTTGATGAAGTCTCTGTGCACAAGGGTCAGTGTACCTGTGGATTAGTGGGGAATGCATGTTGGAAAGACGCAGGTTCTTGTAGTCAGTTACTCATGCCGCCGTTGTGCCTTCTCTGGGCCAGGCTCTGTGCACACCATCCTGCCTGAGTCCTGGCAGGACACCCAGATGAGAAACCTAAGAGAGTCTTGGCTGCTGGGATTTGATGTGTTGCCAGGTAAAGGCATTGAATGGAGGAAGGGACTCGCTGACCAGGTTTTATGGGAGACTTTTCCTGCCTTTACTGGTCACCTCTCATTTGTCTTGTGCTCTATTGTTTTTTCTTTGCTGAACTCCTAGAGATGGAGAAAGCCTCTTGCAGCCTGGGAAGACCAGCTACAGCATTCTTGGGTGGAGTTCATTTTGTTTTCAAGCCTAGTTCCTTCCCAGTTTGCAGTCTTCTTATTCCTAAAAAGGAACCTCTTCTGAGGCCACTTTATGTGGTGGTCAGAGGAGGGCCATCTGCCTGGTCGACGCTGGGCCTTACCTTACAGTCAGCCACACAGAGCAGGGGTGGTCAGGCACCATGAAGGGGTGGTGGTAAGGAATAAATATAACAATGTTGCTAATGCACTCAGCGCAGCTCTCAGAATATATTAACGATGACTTTCAACCTGAAGGCTGCTGTCTTTACCAGGAGTGGCCTTTTAAAGTGCTCTCACCCCCTTGACCTCTCTGTGCTCTTCTAGGAATCTCTCCTAAAAAAAAGATCACTATGTGTGAAGATTTCATCCTGGAGTTGGTCACTACAGCAAAAAAAAAAAAACAAAAAAAACAAAACGGAAACGACCTTAATGCCCACTGAGAGGCAATCATTAAGTAAATTATGGTGCGTCTAACAATAGAGGATTATGTAGGCATTAAAAATTAGAAAGAAGATATGGGTTAATAGAAATGCAAACATGTTTATAATACATTGTTTAGTAAAATAGCAAATTAAAAAGTACACATCTAATGTAATGGCATACTTGTAAATATGTGAATGTGTAAACATGCAAGAATTTAAGATTATTTAATGATGTGAAGGGAACACTTTTTTTTTTTTTAAAGAAATGATACCTCATTCTGCTCCCCAGGTTGGAGTGGAATGTCAGGATCATAGCTCACTGCAGCCTCGAACTCCTGAGCCTCAGACCATTCTCCCTTGCTCAGCTTCCTGAGTGGCTAGACTACAGATGAGCACTACCATGCCTGGCTAATTTAAACAATTTTTTTTTTTTTCAGAGGTACGGTCTCGCTATGAGAAGGAAACACTTAACAAAGCTGGATTTGCAAACAAAAGAGATGAGCAAACTCCATGCTGCTTTTCAGGACAACTTTGCTGGTAAGTTCAAACTTTCTAATGGTTCATAGTTGTTCAAAGAGAGATTAGGCTGCCCCAGAGATAGTGAGGTCCTTGTCAAAGAAGGAGTTTAAGAATGAGTCTTGGCAAGGAGCATCGAGGGGGTCAGAATTAGGGGTCAGGGGAGTTGATGTTTGATTACCTCGAACTGAGCCACCATTCCCATAGTACAGTGCCTGACCCTGAGACCTGGACTGGACAAAACATGGTCATGATTGAGAAATAAATGTGTACAAAAATGATTTGCCTCCTTTTTATGCAGACATTAAAGGAGCGGTAAGTGAACGGTGTCATTATAATGAAGTTAATGTGTGCTTAATGCAGGTTAGGATACACAATCTCACAGAGGCACATTTACATATGATCTACATTCCTTTCAAATGGTAGGGAGAGTATTAGGTATGCATAATGACTCTTTGGGAATTAAATCAGAAGACTCATTTTCCAACGCTGAGCCTGTGGCATCAAAGCCCCTGTATCTGGGTGGAGAAAACATTCCCAAGCTTTGAAGGTGATCAGTCTTGTCTATTTCCTTTTAAAATTGCCCGCAAGCCCATAGCCCAGCAGAGGCTTTTGTGCTCTTTCATCTCTCTGGTTCCCAGGGTACCAGTTAACACTGTGGGCCACACCTGTGGGCCCCCTAAGATGATGGGAGAAAGTAGGGACAAATTCTCCCAGTCGGGAAGGGGGTTGAGGTGCCTCTGTTGTCTGCCAGGTGGAGAAATCCCATGCACCCGGGTAAGTAATTAGGCAACAAGAATGGGTGTGATTTTCTTCCTCTTCAGCTTCCAGCCTGAACACAAACACAACACAGGGAAGACTAGTCAATCCCCCATTCAGAGCAGATGTATGCCCACCCAGCAGCTGCTGAAGTGGGTATGAATGTCCCATTCATTTATTCCTCCCTTGAACGTAGAGATAAATGGCAGATGTTCTCTGTCCTTGGAGAGCTTCCAGCACAGAGGAAGAGGACAGGAGCTCAGTTGAGCAAAGGCCACTCCATAAATAGGCCACGGATTTGAACCTCAAGCTTTAACAGTTAGGGCAGTCATAGATAGTCTTTCTCCAAGCTAAGGGAAGGTGAAAGCCCTTTCTCCAGACCTCTGGTGGGCCATTACAGAGCAGAAGGCAAGGTGGGTGTCTAGAGGGAAGTTCCATAAATGACAGATGGGATTTTTAGGGAGACAGATTTCACTTCAATATTGCGTGCAAGGGGGTGTAGCAAGATGTAGAACTCTGCAAAGATGGGAATTCAGATACTGAGCAGACAAAAAAGAATGATAGAGGATTTGCTGTCCTGCTGTAAACCACTATATAACTTTGACAAATTAAAGAAAACAGCTATGGACAGGTACTGGACAGTGTTCTAACACAGGGCTGTGATCCTTGAGAGTGTCAGGGGGCACACAATGTGAGCCCCACATCTACCCAAACTTTCTTCCTGGGGACACTTTCCAGGCCACTGTGCAGGGAGGTGGAGGCCAAGCAGTCTCACTGGACAGAAGAGGTAGACATCAGAATTCAAGACTTAGGCAGAGATTTGGGGATCTAGGACAGAAAATGAGGAACCACAGAGAGGGAGTCCCACAAGTCTTAGACCTTTGGCTGACCCTGTACTGCACAAGTACAGGGCAAGACTTGAGGGCAGTTGCTGGGAGGTGAGAGCTGAGCAGAGATTTGGGGCTCACACCGTCCTGATGAGATTTTAGAGTTCAGGCCCAACCAGAATGAACCGCCCCAGCCCCCCTGGGGTTCTTTCTCCAAGCTCAGTGACACTAGGATCAGCCAAGTGGTTGCAGAGGTCTGAGTTTGAGCTCCAAGGACCCCTCCTGTATGCATCTAAGTTTTAGTCATTCCAACCATTTCCATTGTTCTCCTAGCCCTAATGGTGGTAGCTGCTTCACAGTTGCTACCTCCAAGTTGCCTAATTAATAATAATTCTTCTTCTTCCTTCTTCCTTCTTTCTTCTTCTTTTTTTTTTTTTTTTTTTTTTTTTTTTTTTTGAGACAGAGTCTGGCTCTGTCATCCAGGCTGGAATGCAGCAGCATGACCTTCGCTTATTGCAACTTCTGCCTCCTGTGCTCAAACTATCCTCCTGCCTCAGCCTCCTCAGTAGCTGGGACTACAGGCATGTGCCACTATGCCTGGCTAATTTTTGGGTTTTTTTGTAGAGACAAGATTTTACCATGTTGTCGAGCCTGGTCTTGAACTCCTGAACTCAAGTGATCTGCCCACCTCAGCCTCCCAAAGTGCTCAGATTACAGGCATGAGCCACTGTGCCCAGCCAATAATTCTTTTTTTTTAAATTATTATTTTTTGAGACAGAGTCTTGCTCTGTCACCCGGGCTGGAG